AGCCATGACACTTAAACATGCTGCAAACAACCAGACTTTACACCACCAGTGGAAATGTGGGTGGAGGCTGATTTCTCTAGCTTCCCTGCTTGAAGTCAACCCTGGAGCAATTGTTCCCAGCCTGCATTCAGCTTTGAGGTTCATTGCTGCTTTTAGCCTTCAGAGATCTGTCTGAAAGCTTGCCTGTACTTCCACTGGTGTTTTCTTCCCCTTAGAAAGGTCTGGGGGAGAATATCTAAAGGTTCATGTGAATTTTACTTGCTTTGTGTGGTACTAGGACTAATCTTCTGTTTAGTGATGATGCGAAGAGGCACGAAGTGAGATCGGGAGTCCTTACTGTGTGTGTATAACATGCTTGCAGAGACTTCAAAAGCAGTGACTAGCACGTGGGTCCGTGAAGAGCACATGCATGGTAGAAAGCTGGGGGACCTGTGCTTTCCTGGCCTGTGGTGTGGTCCAGACTGCTGCTGTAACTGGGCTTGCAGGTATCTGGCGGTTCAGGAGGATCACCTGGCTACAGAGATGTGCAGCTTTTCAAAAGCCAGCTTGTTTCACAAATGGGCAAAAATGAGAGGGGAAGCAGAGTTAAAATAATCAATGCTGTGGCTGGTAGTACTGTTGGGAAGACAAGTTCCTGATGTCTCCTGGTGTAGACCCAGTACATGCTAGTCTCATTTTTAATCTAGTTGGGTGGGGGTTCTTTCACATCCTGTGCAGCTCTTTGTGCACTAAACTCAATTTTTAATTGGTTGTAAGCGCTAGAACTTAAGTATCACATATTTCTTGTTTGCTTGATGTGTGCATAAGCATGCACAACTTATCTTAAAATAAATTTTAAGAGTAGACTGATCTGTCTGAGCCATGGTAGTAAACCCATGCCTATAGCTGGTGGAAACCTGAGTTGACCCCAGTGTGTGGCAACATGTTTTGAGAAGAGCAAAGGAGACTCCAGCCTTTCTCCAACCCCAACCAACTGAGCCTGTGGCTGTACATGCTGTGGCTTGGGTCTCTGCAGGGCTTGGAAGAGGAGACTCTGAATTGCTGCTCAGTCTGGTGCTCCCAAAGCACAAAAGAAACAGTGCTGCTTCAGAGAGGGATTCATCAGCTCCTCAAATTTTCAAAGACCTGGAGCCACATTTATGTGGATTTAGCATCACCCGTAACCTCTGGGTCACAGCTACTAAACAACTCTGCTGCCTGTTTAAGCTCTGGTAATCTTGGCTGGATTTCTGGTTTAATTTGGAGACAGCCTGCTGCAGCTCTGCACAGTAAATGCCCTATTAAGCAGTTAATTATTTCTCTATAATACTAGCTTTTATCTTTAATACAACAGTTTTACTGTCTCTGATAATTACACAGTCTCGGATAACTCTCTTAAATCTAATGAGGCATGACAAGCTGTGTTCAACAAGGCACCACACCATTAACTTCATACCTCTTACTTGTCATCTTATCACACTGAATTACTGTATTTCTAGCCTGAGTGGCTGTGGGTACATAACATGTCACTTCCTATTAAAGCACTAATGAAAATCATCCCTGGTGCTCTCGCAGTCGGGCTAGTGGTCAGCAGGCTGGCCTGGTGGCCGGCAGACCCCTCCAACAGCTTCTCTGCAGCATCATGCTCTTTGCCCCATGAGCTAAGCAAGTTTGTTAGGCTTGGTTTAAATACTTCTGGCCACTCAAACAGCTTCGTTTATCCATGGGTCTCTTGCTTGTGGGTGGGTGAAATGCAAATGGCCCTTTGGAGGGTGTCAGTGATGATAGACCTGGTTTGTGCTGATGGAAGTCGTTGCTGCAGGGGTATCTCATGGTGGGATTCAGCTGGATTAAGAAAAACCAGGTGCTTTTTCTGGACAGGGATAGGACATAAACTGCTGCAGCAACACCTGGTTTAACTGGACTTGACTGCTGCTTTGTTACTCGTTCATGGCAATAGCAGATCAGGTCATTGGAATGCTGGTTTTCTGTGGATTTGAGGGTGGCAGTGAAAACTCTACACGTGCCTGACCGAAGTCTTGGGGTTGTCGGGATCATCTTCATATGTCACCCTGTCACCTTGCCAGTAAGAGAAGTACAGAGTTGTACTTCTGAAATGTCAAGGCTCTTGGCAGGGAAATTCCTGCATCCTTCCAGGCTGGACCAGGAAGGCACTTCCCAGGGGAATGAGCCCAGGCTGTCCCTCAGGGCCGATGGTGGAGCTCCAGCTGGCAGGCTGAGTGCTCAAGTACAGCTGGACTGAACAGGTCAGTTAATTCCTGTCTAGTTGCAGAACAGCGAAGAGACCTTCAGTGGAAATCAGCTGTATCCAGCCAACGTTTATTTTTTCCTTCCCAGCCTTTACAGAGCCTGCCGCTGACTGTGCTTTTGGAGGTGGGTTTGCCTTCTGGTACCTAGAGCCTGTATGAGTTGTGCTGTCAAAGCTGTGTATTTCCCCACAAGGCAGCGGCAGAAAAATCCTTGTTTCAGGTGATAACCTAAGTCATTTAGATTCCCTGTGGGTATCCTATGGGATGTCCATGGGACCAGCTACCATGGTGTGCCTGGATTAGATCAGTTCCTGGCTCTAAAAGGACAGTTTTGACTTGGACAGCAGCTGTTAGCATCTCTGCAGTTTCATTAACTGAAACACTGACTAGTGGGTGGAATGTAAATCTGGAAAGACAGCTGGATGCCAAGTTATGTTTAGAATTGTGCCGGCCTTATCAGCAGTGTTGGTGATCTAAAATAGACCAGAGATGTTGCTTGTGCCCTGTTCCTCCCACAGGCAGTAAGGAAACTCGTGTCTGTAGAAGTGCATCACCTTCTACAGAGAAGAGAGCAGGTAGAAGCACGTGGCTCTGATGTCCCTGCTTTCATCTGTGGCACTCTGGGTCCCTGTCTTCATATCCCCAACTTGTCCTGGGAAGCATCCTCATGTGCCCAGAACTGTCAACAGTGAGAAAAGTCCTTTTGGTTGTAAATTTGAAGGCAGTAGTTGATCGCCTGTAGCTGGGGAGGGGATGAAGGGGGAATAGCTGTGACCGGTGGGATGGTGCGTGTCTGTTCTGGCTTTTGGTTGCCTCTTAAAGGAGCAGAATAGGCTCTGGGGCTCCCAAGGGTAAAGACTTAGTGATGATAAAATAGATTAACCGATGGTCTGTTTGTACTTCTGCAGTCTGCATACTCCTCAGTACTTGTCAGTGATCTGCCTGGTATCGGGCACGGCTGGGATGTATAGAAGGATGTGGTGACTAACACCTGCAATATGTACTCCTGGGGTGGTTTCTCTATTGATTCATACTCGTGTGTCTTGCTGCTTTCAGGCTCCTGGTTTTGCTAGATGGCACCTCCAAAGCAGCTGCTCTGCTTGCATCCCCAGCCGGACTGCCAGGAGTTAGAGAGGATGCACTGAATTATTATTTTTTTCCATTTTCCTCAAAAAAAAAAAAGTCGCAGCTCATTATTTTTAACTGAATCCTGTTCAAGCTGGCAGCGTGTTTGGGAATTGATCGGGGCAGATTTAACCTCCTCTCCATCTTGAGCTCCTTGGTGCTGGAGAGGAGAGTGGTTCCAGCAGCCAAGGCGAGGTTGGCAACCTGGACTCCCTGGGTCTCCCTGAGGTTTGGAGGCAGCGCGCTTTGGGGGCAGGAGCTGTAATGATGATGTCTCTAGCTCTAGATGTAGCTATTAGCAACCTTACCATGAAACAAGACAAGTTCCACTGAATGCCCTTTACTTTTGGTGGGTTTTTTCCTTCTAATTAATAAATCTAATTTAGTGGAAAAGCCTCTTCCAGGTTTGCTTGTTCCAGAGCATTGGCACCTGTGGGTTTAAAGGGAGAAGAGTTGGCCTGGTAGCTGGTACTTTCTAAAATGGACTGTTAGCTGGAGTGACAGCAAAACAGTCAAAAATGACTTCTGCATGGGATGTAGTACTTGGTACCTTTCCATTAGCAGCTCCTATAAGCTCATGTAAAAGCTGGTTGAACCCAAGGAGAGCATCGTATCTGACAAACTAACTGGGACCCTCTGAAATGCTTCTGCAATGCTTGGACCCTACTCTGAGCAAAACTAGGTAAAAATCTGACTTGCTGTTATCTCTGGCTGGTGGCAGGAGAAAGCTCAGAGCAGCAGCTGCAACAGACATCACCAGAGGACTCCTTAGAGGAGGACAGACTTGAAGGGCTGCAAGGAGCAAACTCATCGATGGCCATGGGGGCTTCATTTGAAGAATCACAGAATAGTTTGGGTTGGAAGGGACCTTTAAGGCTTGTCTAGTCTGACCTTCCTGCAGTGAGCAGGGACATCTTCAACTAGATCAGGTTGCTCAGAGCCCCGTCCAGCCTGACCTGGGATGTTTTCAAGGAAGGAAGAGTTGCTTCAAATATATTTTGTAGGGCATATGGTTGGTGATACTGAAGCCCCGTGTCTCAGACTGCTGCTCTGCAGTAGTAGCCAGCGGTCATGCAGAATGCTGTGTGATGAAATAATGTTTTAATACTAGCTGGCACAAGCCTGGAGCCATGCCAGCTCGCAGGCTTCTGGGGCTTGGCACTGGTACCTTTATGCTGGAGTTGTGTGCACAGTGGTGCTTCCCAAAAGGTCCTCTGGTCCTGTTAGCTGTAAGGAGGAGATGGCTTTACTGCTCTGCTGTGACTCAAAAGCTTAACGGACTCTTGGGCCATATTGTTTCACTGTTGCTACCATAATTTCAGTTTGCCTGGAAGAATTATCAGGGCTGGTAGGTAGTGATGAACCCTCCCTAGCTTCCTTTAGGGCACTTCCCATGGCATGAAAATGCTGCTGCTGAAGGATGCCAGAAGCACACACCTACCTCCCAAACACCTCTGCTCTTCATCCTTCTGATCTGTGGGTGCATGCAGTGCCTCTGGTCAGCTTGGAGCCAGGTCCTTTGGTTTTTCTCAGCTTTCAATGGGCAAGTGCTGGGGGTCCTCCAGATTTTTTTCCACTGTTTTTGCATTGAAGTTTGGCACAGACTGCACACGTGTATCTGTTCAGCTCTGCTGGTCAACGTAACTTCTCTAATTTTCTTTGCAGTAAAACGATTTAAGGAACCAAAGGAAGAGAGGCGTCCCTGGAGGATATGGTGAGATTTTTAATTCAGAGCTTGGAAAGACCATGTATCTGTAATATTAACTTTCTCTTATACTAATCATCTTCTAGGCCCTCTGAATATCCTGCATGGCATTTGGTCATTAAATGAAATGCTCTGCTGCTGCTTCCCAAGGAAACCTACATAGAGTAGCTGGTGCTCCCTAGAAGTAAAATTCCCTGCCTAGCTCCTCCAGAAAAGCTTGTTTTTGCTGTAGGTGACTGAACCGAGAGGTTATGGTCTTCTCCAGTCTGGTGGCATACCTGCACATGGGCTGTGTCCCAGGCAGGGTGAAGTTTTGTTCTTGAATTCCATCAATCACCTTGGTGTCTGTTGACCCAGCTCAGGCATAGACTGGGCAACAAGTTTGGCTGTGTGTTGCTGTAAGGTAGCTGGGTATTGCTGTCAGCTTCAGACACCTCTAGAAAGCATCTCTGTATTGTAGGATTTACTGGCTGTTGAGAGGTGGGCAGATGGGTGGGATCAGCATATGGTTGGACTGGCTTGGTGGCACGGAGCTGCCAGGCAACGTTAGTGATGAAAAGCCTGTTAGTCTTCTCCGTTTGGTTCTTCCTCTAAGATAGCTTGGGAATTCAATCCAAGTCCCTGTGGACAAGTGCAAAAATCTAAGTTCCTGAACATCATTCCCGCACCTACTGCTGGTTGGAGAAACCGAGGCTGGGCACTGGTGGCTGAACTGCCCTTCGCTGCAGGCTGAGGCTCAGCAGTAGATCTGCAAGACTGAGCTGCTACGTGCTGAAAGAGTATCTTTTTTTTTTAAGTGTTTGGAGTTGGCCAAACCGCCCCTTTTCACCATGTAGAAATTTTTGGGTGTGATAAATGCGTCTTGGAGGAAAACAGATCCATGCAGGGACCTTCGTTTGGGGGACTTCTCTGCTGCCGGTGCTCCGGAGCACAGAGCTTTCCCCCTTTTTTTCTCCAGGTTTTATGATACCTCCAAGCAAGCAATAGGTGCCCTCTTCATCCACTTTGCCAATGTTTTTCTGTCGGATCTCACTGAAGAGGACCCTTGCTCTCTGTAAGTACACAGGTGCTTCCATTCATGTCCCACATCTGTAAAAGGAAGCAAGCCTGTCGGAAAGCGTCATACACGGCAGAAACCGATCCATTTGGAAGTACCATGTGGGGATTAGCCGTGCTGAGCTTATTTTCATGATCTGGGTTGTCTTCTGGTCTTTGCAGTCTACTGGTCTGATGGAGATGAAGTGTGTGACCACGCTTTTCTCATGATTAAAGGCATCTTGAAGCACACTGGCCAAAAGCCGCAGTAAATAGGGCAGCGGTCCCCACGCCATTGCAGCTGTTGAACGTGCCGTTTGTTCGCACACCGGACTTTGCAGTTTGGCTGGTCTCAGAGCAGTATTGAGAATGCTTTCCTAACTCGGTGGGTGAAGGCCTTTGTCCAATGTAAGGATATTTTTTTGGATATTCAGTTACACCTACCACAGGTATTCCTGTACTCCTGTTTGGGGGCTAAGCCAGACTTTGGACTGAACGTAGAATTGTCACCCTGACTTCACACCGGCCACTTTGCAGCTACAAACTTAGTTTCAGAATTAACTTCATCCTGTTTTGAGAAACTCCTCTAGGCTTCAAAATGCTGCCGAAAACCTTCTGGACCATCTCCCTTTCATATGTTAAAGTGCTGCACTGTTTCTTTAAACAGACACAAATTTTGCTGGGGCTAAATATAACCTCTAAAATGATTCATCATTTTTTTAAACAGACACTGTTTTAAAATAAACCCTTTTGTGCTTATGTTGTGCCCTTGATTTTTTTTTTTCTTAGTATGTGTGTTTTATTTCCCTGGGTTGCCTGACTTGTCATCCTGAACCAGGCAGCTTAAAACTCTAAAGCCCTGTCACAGGGTTTGAGGCTCTTGGGCTTCATGTCCCGCTCAGTATGAACCACCAGAGCCTCATGTTTGCATCTGAGTACTCTGACTTCATCAGCTGGAAACTGTAATAAGCTAGTCTGAGCCTTTGGATGTAGAAAAACTTAATGCCATGTTTTCAAAATGGATATCAAAAGCAGATTGTTATTTCCGGTGTCTTCATTCAGAGGCAGTATCAAGTTCTGCGAAAGGAAATGTTCATTCCTGTAGCTCTGTGCTTGGTATTTGCTTCATGCTGTAGAAATCTGGCTTGACCTGGCAGAAAATATTCCAGTAACGGAAAAATTGGCCAGAAAACATCAGTCTGAGTGATTTTTTTTTTCTTTTTTTTTTTTTTCCTCTGGAGTTCATTAAAATGCCAAGCCCTGGATTAGAGCTTGGACCTTGCAATCCCCAGAAGGTCCCCTCTGCCTCTGGCGTGCTGTCCAGTGAGGTTCACACACACAAAGCTGCAGAGCAAACCCATCGGGCCCAAATCTCCTGGTTGGGATGGGTTCAGCTCCTGTGTCTGCAGTGGGGAGCCTGAACTGAAGGCTTTTGGGGACACAGGATGCCTGCTGTTGGGCCAGGGCTCATCACCTCTCCGAAGGTCTTCTGTGTCTCAGTCTGTCTCTGGGCATAGGAGCCCTTCTCTGCTGAACAGGCTTTTAAACTAAGAAATTGCTGGTAAGGCTATAGGTAAATCCCATAAAAGAGAATAGAAGTGAGGCTGGGCTATTAAGTGGGGATTTTTGAAGTTTTGGGGTTTTTCTTATGGATCCCCATATTGAAATAAAAGCCTTTGAATTAGACTTAAGAACACAACTGAAACCTAAATATTCCTCTGCTCTTAGCTACCTTATTAATTTCATCCTCGATGCCACACTGGGGATGCTGCTGATCTGGCTCGGCGTGAAAGTTGTCTCCTGGGTCGTGCAGCACAAGAAGTACACGTACCTGGTCTTTGGAGAATACGGTGAGTGTCAGCCCCTCCGCGCAGCGGTGGCTTGTTTGCGGTCAGCTATGAATGGGGAGGAGAAAAAGGCAGAAACTGCAGTTAGGGGGTAAAACACGTGAGCAGCCTGGTGCTGTTATCCCTTCTCCAGGGAGCTCACGGAGCGATCAGCGTGTTAAACGCTGGGGCGTCACTAGGCTGCAGGTGACTCTACCTGCTGCATTGCCGTTGGTGATGAAAGGTTGAACGTTTCCTTGGGTGGCTTTATACCCCAGGACATGCATATGGTAAACTAAGGTGTTTGGGTGTGGTGATGGTGACTTTTGCGGCGTTCTTTTGGTGGCTTTTTGGTAGCTTCTCAGTTCAAAACATGGAGTTGTTCTTGCATTTGCCTTGAGCTGTAGTAAGCATCAGCAGGACACAGCCTGGCCCCAAAACTGAGTTCTCAAATGGCTTGTGGGGGATTTTTTTTTTGCCGTCTGATTTTAAAAAAAAATTTTTAAAAACCAAGTATGCCTGAGTCTGGCCTCTCTGCTTGAATTCCTGCCTTGAGATGGAGAAAAATTTCAGAAAAGCTGTTCTCAGCCAGCCCCACTAGAGGGTAGCACTTCTCTTCAGAAAGAGCAGAGCCAGCTTCCAGGAGAACAGTGCTTGTCCGTGGCTGCAGGAAAGGGAAAAACTACCCTTTTGCTTATTTTGTTGTATCTAATATAAAGATGAATTCACTCTTACTTTTGAAAATATATCCTATTCACACCAATCACTTTCCCACCTTTAAGACCTTCATCATTAAGCCTATTCTGAAGATAGGATCATTCCTTTGTATTTTTAGTAGCTGGTCTAATAACTGAGCTGGTGGAACTTGGACCAAGGTGGGAGTAGCGCAGAGATCCCACTGACTTGTGAGCTTTTACTCGGGGATGTGTTTAGCATGTGTAAATGGGTCATGGCACAGCATGGAGGGCATGGCTGGGTTTGTGAGACAACTGAAGCAGCTGCAGAGTTGGCATGAGATGACAGCAGGTGGGTTGAAATGATGAGATGGGGCAGGGCTGGCTCTCATCAAACCTGAGAGTTGCTTTAAAGGTTGCAGTGGTCTCCAGAGCAGCTTCAGCATCCTGACAGCATGCATTTGGTGAGGGCTGCCCTTTTTTCCCCCCTAATGGCTCTTTCTCAGAGCTGAGGGGCCAAGCACAGAGCACTAAAGTCACTCAGATGAGACAGCAGAAGAATCCAGATATTCTTGGTTCAGGGACTGGTATTTTTCCCCCTTTTGAGCAGCAAGGGCTTGAAGCCCAACTGCAGCCATCCCAGGGTACAGCTTCATGTGCCACGTCTGCAGTTGAGCAGAAGCAAGGAAATGTTAAAATGTATTGACAGCTTGCTTTAACCTTGCAGAGCAGTAATGAACTTGCATTGAGCTGTAGCTGGCTCCTCATGGAGGCTGGCTTAGACTACGGAAACAGTTCACTCTTCTGAGGAAATCTTGCTTTCACTGATTTAAAAAAAAAAACAAACAAACAACACTTCTCCTGTTGCTTAAATTTGGCTCTTGAATTGGGGATTGGATATCTCATCCACACAGCATCACTCTTGGTGCAGGTCTCTGACCAGAGAGACCGTGATGGAAAAATTAGGTAGGAGTCAAATGGCATGTCCAGTGCAATCCTGCTGTCGGGCTAGGGAAGCAAAACACTGGTATCCTCATCTCGGCTGTTAAGTAGCTTGCAAAACAGTTTGGAAGATGCTAGTAAACTTTGTACAGTTTGATACAGGCTCCAGAAATATGATTCATCTTCTGGTCTAATTGCTGTACCAGACTTGATGTTGCTTTCCTCAATTCTCCTGAGGAACAAAAGCATCTCTTGCAGTCCTGGAGAGAAGGAGGGACAGAATACCAGGGAAGCACTAAATCCATGCTGCAGACAGTGGTGAGTGCCATTGCTCCTACCATCAGGAAAGAACAGTTGTGTCTGTCCAGTATAGCCTGTACCCATTGACCTGCGTGGCCTTTGAGGGGTGGGGGAATCTGTTGCAACTGCTTCCTTTCTGGCCCTCCAGCTCTTGGTTATGTCCCTGCAAGTGACACAAACCGCTGCAGTTATGCTCTGGTTTGGGCTCCAGCAGTCCCTTCTGCTCTGCGGTTTGTACGCCTGCCTCCATGGCCCCGGGTGGTTCTCCCTGTGTGACTTCATTAGCTGTGTTAATGGAGAAGCAAAGAAAAAGGAAGGGAAAGCACCTGAATCTATGCTGCTATTTTAAGCATCCAGCTGTCCAGAACGGTTTAGAAAAATCAATTACGTCCATATTTTTTTCAAAAACCAGGAGACAGCCATTCTGAGATCAGCCTCTCTCATGCCTGAGCTCTTAGCCAAAGGCTGCTGCAGCCAGGAATGACCTGCGTTTTAACTAGTAGAGAGTTGAAGGCTCCTATGTGCTCCTGTTCCTCCCTCTTTGCCCAACAGCTCTTGATTGCTCTTTGGATTGCCTCTAAGCACAGGAAGCTGCATTTTAAGAGGCTGCTGTCTCTTTTCAAGATGCTTGGCTCCTAAGATCAGAGATTGGAGAGCTTTATTCTTCATCTTGGTTCAAGTATGCTTTGGCGAATGATGGTTGCCTTGCACACGCTCAAAGCTAACAAACTGCCCAAATGCTCTTCGCATAATTGCTCTAGCAGGGTAGCAGCAGGCCATGTCTATAGGTGCATTCCCTGCAGAGGACTCCTGCAGGGAGGAGAACAAAACAGAGTTCAAGTTGTGAAGCATTTGGGAGGTAGATACCCATGGTCTTGGAGGTGCTGCTGAGCCTATACAGACTGATCAAGCCTGCTTCAGCTTTGTGCCCCACCTCCAAACTGCTCCAGCATTTTTCTCCCTTGCCCATTCCTATGGCAATAAACAGCTCCCTAGAGGGAACCTCTGGATGGTAGCAGTGTCCTGGTGTTGTAGATCACAGAATCATTAAGGTTGGAAAAGACCTTCAAGATCATCAAGTCCAACCGTCAACCCAACACCACCAAGCCCACTAAACCATGTCCCCAAGTGCCACATCTACACATTTTTTGAACACTTCCAGTGATGGCGACTCCACCACCTCCCTGGGCAGCCTGGTCCAACGTTTGACCATGTCTCAGTAGAGAAATTTTTCCTAATATCCAATCTAAACCTCCCCTGGCGCAACTTGAGGCCATTTCCTCTCGTCCTGTCGCTGGCTACTTGGGAGAAGAGACGAACACCCTCGTCACCACAACCCCCTTTCAGGTAGTTGTATAGAGCGATAAGGTCTCCTCTCAGCCTCCTCTTCTCCAGACTGAACAACCCCAGTTCCCTCAGCTGCTCCCCATAAGACTTGTGCTCCAGACCCCTCACCAGCTTCTTTGCCCTTCTCTGGACACGCTCCAGCACCTCAGCATCCTTCTTGTAGTGAGGGGCCCAACACTGAACACAGTATTCAAGGTGTGGCCTCACCAGTGCCGGGTACAGGGGTACAATCACTTCCCTACTCCTGCTGGCCACACTAGTGCTGATACAGGTGAGGATGTTGTTGGCCTTCTTGGCCACCTGGGCACACTGCCGGCTCATGTTCAGCTGGCATATGTTCATCATATGTTCATGTTCATCATATTAGATGTGTCTAATAACTCTACCATGTTACTTTAGAAATACTGGAGTATTTCTTTCAAGTAAGCAAACACTATGAATTTGCATTAAGACCTGGTTTCTGCAATGTGCAAGTAAAATGCTAAAGAAGAGCACTAAGAAATGATGAGGAGATAGAGTGTGTTCTCGCTTGGTGCTTGAAAATGCCTCTCTGGATGCCCATCTGGATGCTGGCTTGTGTATGATTGTGGTTGTGGTCACTGACTAGACTAAGCTTGATGCTTTGTGCTCATTCACTGTCTGGAAATGGAAAGGCATGTTGCCTGAAGGCCTTTAAAGTCTGTTTAGTGGCCTGTTGAACTCTGCTGGTTAAACTTAGTTACAGGGGAATATGCTGTGTGCCAGCTGCTGAGTTTAAGTGAGGACCTGTGTAGGCTGCTTTTGGCCCTGTTGTGATGTTGTACAAAATTTCCATAACAAATGTTCCCACGTCCTGAAGCAGCCAGAGGAGCTGGCTGCTCATGCTTGAGGAAATACTGTTAAAAATAGCTGTAATCGGAGGGGCTGTCCTGTCCTTAGCATGTTTGGCCTTTCCACCTCCAGGGCCAGGGAGAAAAAGTAAGGAGAGGACTCAGGATCATCCTCAAATGGTCAAGTGTGTGGTCAGGTACCCTGCTCTGAACCTTGCTGCGTCTGGCTGATGGCAGCAGTCTTTACCCCAACGCAATAGCAGTATCTCCAGGGACCGAAGACCCAGAGCAGTGGTGTGACACTACAAACTAGAGACTGATTCCAGCTGTACACTCTCCAGTAGTTCAGATGCAGAACATGCTAGAGAGGGTTTGGGATGTCCGCTGGACCCATCGGGCTGCTCTGATGCCAGCTTGCCCTGCCCGTAACTGGTGCAATTGCTGGTCAGGTCCCAGTCTCTCAAAACCCATTCTTGCCCTCAGAGTGAGCACTCCTGTGCAATACAGATGTTTTCCTGCTATGTCTTGCCCTCCTCTGTACTTGGCACTGATAATTAGATCCCTTGGTTTTGGAGGTATTGTTTGAGTATCTCTTAAGAGGTTTTTACCAGCTTTTTCTATCCCCACCATATCGCCCAGTGCAACTCCCAGTGCTTTCAAGTATTCGCTTTTCCTCAGCCCCCTGAACCCTCTGCTTTGGCTGTGGTTAAGCTTTTTGCCTACCGGCTCGGTGCGCACACAATCCCCAAAAGACCATAAATAAAGCTGTCTGGCAGTAACACGTGGGCTATGCTGACAGCTTGGTACATTAGACAGGCTGGATTAAAACTAATCCTGTTGTGTGGTAACAACTCAAATACCTCAAGCAGCGCTGCTTTTGCTCTGCAAGCAGTTGGGCTCCCACGCAGAAGCGGAATATGACACACGTGTTTGTGAGGTTGCTTCAGACACC